AAGCGACCTCGTTGAATCCAAGATCGCTGATTTAAGTGCTCGTTGAAAACGGGTTATTTTTTTTATTGATTTTAAAGAAGAAAAAAACGGGGAATCTATCTCCTCTCCTTGAATCCGAGTTCCACTGTACACATTATGGCCAGTCCCATTGACTTGGAGGACAAGGAGTGACCTAGTGAGTGACTGAATCTTGTGCGATTGATCACGCGAATTTTAAAGGAGCATGCGCAGAAGTCCCCACGGGCCAGAACACGGAACATGCGCAGAAATCCCCAAGGGCCAGAAGCCGCAGGCCAGTCAGGGCTAATCGACCGAATTCGTTTGCCCGGAATATGCGCAGAAATCCTAGACCGGGCGAGTAGCCTGGCGCTAGTCACCCGACATCGGGCGAGTAGCCACTCCGTTTTTAATTTATGATTTAGTTGGCCTGAACATGGGTCATCATGAATTCTTCCCATGGTGTGTCGGCCAAGATCCCTCATAAAAATCCTTGCTCCCGAGCACGTTCTGGAGCGGCGGAGATTACTGTATTACCGTATACGACAGTGGAGTCCACTATTAGTACTATAAACTATAAATAAATACATGCGTATGTGTATAAACTTTACTAACGAGTCCTGAAATAACGAGGTCTGTTAATGTTAACGTACAAACACAGTGGATTCTCCTTCCCCACCTTTTTATTTTTGGGGCGTATCCGCCTCGCCTCCCTTTCTTTTTGTTTTTGTTTTTTGGCGAATGTTTTTAATCCACAACAAATTATGCGTTGAGCGCGCTACAGTGGGTTCGCCTTTCGTCCCTTTCGCTTCACTCCCCCATACTGCAAAAAAGGGAGGGATCATCAACTAAGGTCTACCCTTAGATTTCATTCGCCTGATATTTATTGGGTTCATAGAATCAATTAACTCCGAGAAACATAATTTACTTTTTGCAAATATCATCAGTTAGTGTACACTACATAGTGGCATAGCTGGGTGTTGTCTGGCATCATCTTAGAAAATGTGTTGTTTTTGTTTTACTTAAGTTCCAATCTTATCAAGGAGAAGACGGAATGCAACGGTTTTCATTTTCAGATAATATTTTTTTGTTTAACATCGTCATTTCTAAGAACATTATCCACTAAATGATATTTGCAAAAAGTAAATTATGTTTCTCGGAGATCATTAATTCTATGAACCCAATAAAATAAAAATATCAATGTGAAATTTGACCGTCGTTTTTAAGGGGGTGTAGCTATGGTCAACACCCAAATGCTACAGTTTTTGGTCTAACGCTTGCTTTTCTGCATCAAAGGGTGTGACATAGTACAAAAAAAGGTTATCAAGCAAAAAATTCAAGATTTTAGCCTTAGTAATCTCGAGCCATCAAAAATA